CTAGAAAACCCTGGGGAGGGTCATAATAGGTCAAGATCAGCTACACACAATTATTGTTCATTATTGCATGGGTGGGATGGGTGAGGTTGCTTTGCGCCTTGTTCCAGAAATTTTTCAGATTCTTTTTTTTCCCAGCCTTCAAAGGTTATGCTGAGCTTTCCAGAAATCTAGAAGCTACTGGGGAGCCAAAGCAGCAGGACTCCCAGTCTAGAAGACAGGTGCCCATCAAAAGGTCAACTGAGAAGCTTGTAAGTCAAGAGTGACTAAGGGAGCTAAATTTATATCTGTCTGGGAAAAGGAAGACTCAGGGGCAACGTGGCCACAATCTAAAAATACCTTCAAAGTAATGGTGTAAATGAAGGGAGAGAATTGTTCTCGGTCCCGGAGGAAGGAAGGGTGAAAAAGAAAGGCTGAGAGATAAAGAAGGGGATGTTTACACTGGAGAATCGTGAAAAGCAAGAAGAGCATAACTGGAATATGACCAGAGATTTTTCCTTTAAATATATATATAAGGACAGCTGATTCATGTTACAGAAAAGCAGAGTGGATATTCAAGGGCTATTCAATAAACAGCAATCTTGAAATGAGCTAAAGGAGTTTCAGATTGACATCTTCTTTTCTTAAATGAACCTGAAATATGACCCAGGAAATTATATCTCATTTCCAGAACAACACTCAGAGCCCAGGAATGATTATGTAGAAAGATGGGTGAGCAATGCTCAAACTCCTCTTGGATCAGCTTGGACACTGGCCGGGTTCTTCCCGGAAATATTGGAAGCATGCAGGCAATTTATCTGTGGTCCTCGAAGTATTTGAAATCTCTCACCAATCTCTCCCATCCTGCCCTGTGTCCTCAAAGGCTCATTTCTGATCACCTCACCTCGATGCGTTGTCTTTTCAGTTCTCTTTGATGGATGATGTTGGAGTTTTTGCAACCTCGCATGCTGTTTTTAGTAGGTTTGGCTGGGATCAACCTTTCTGGGCTGGACTAAGTATCAATCTATCCAATCGTTCTTTCCCTGCCTCTGAATTCAAAGGCAGCCCTGCTCCTCTGCTCAGTGTTTTCCCCCCTCTGTGGTCTATTAGAAGTCTGTTGTTAAAAGCAGTCGCGTTTGTCAGTTTGCTATCTGATCTGTTCAACTGTAGGTAATGATAGCTTTTCATTTTTTTCTCCTACTAATGTCTCAGATTGAGACCGTAAGTGCCAGCTGATGAAAGAAAGGAATGGATTACTCAGGAGAACTTCAAGCTATTCCACTCTGTGGATCCCAGTGTTTCTACTGCACAGCTAGAGACATTTAACCAGTATTCAAAACTCTGCAACAGAGGATGACTGGCAGCAGAACAGTATACAGTGAAATTTGGGTGGTTTTGCCAGCACTATTCCAATAGCTCATGATTTTTCTCACCATCCAGAGGTTTCTCCTAGCCCATCCTCCTGTAATTTAAGCCTCTAATCCATTTCATGTGGGTGTATAAATAAGTCTTTGTAGCTCCAGATCACATATGTAGGTGATAACTGGTTTTTATTGGGATTTCAATAAACTGGGAAGTACATTCTATTTATTCCATTTGCCTCAAGAAACATGACACATACACAACCCCTTTAGCTCTGCACCTTCTCCCACATGCCATCTTAAGACGTCGTGACTTTGGGAATGAAATGACTTGGCATAAAGGTTGACATGTCGTTTCATGAGCGGCATGCCCCCTTCTTGTCTGGTTTTGTGACTCCCCTCAGTTCTCACTACTGCCTGATTTGTGATCATGCTCCTTAACTTTGTCACCTTGACAGCAACACACACACACCCTTCCAATTCAACTTTAAAACAAGGTTGCAGGGGGCGTGCACCTTGTTTAAAGTGAAACTCCACGCATAAAGGTTGACATGTCGTTTCATGAGCAGCATGCCCCCTTCTCGTCTGGTTTTGTGACTCCCCTCACCACTGCCTGATTTGTGATCATGCTCCTTAACTTTGTCACCTTGACAGCAACACACACACACCCTTCCAATTCAACTTTAAAACAAGGTTGCAGGGGGCGTGCACCTTGTTTAAAGTGAAACTCCACCCTTTTGGCACCCGTATGGAAACTAAGTATAGGGTTGGTTAAGGATGTGGCCAGTGGAACTCCTCCACCCTGGCATGGTCCACTCGTGATCTTTGCCTATTCTGGGCTAATTATGGGATAGAAACCACTTTGGCTGTCTTAGTGGATGATTTCAAGGAATGTGTAAGACATGAAACAATAGATTCAAATTGCAAGGAGGGAGATTTCACCTAAATGTTAGGAAGACCTTCTTGACCGTAAGAGCTTTTGGACAATGGAATGGGCTGCCTTGAGAGTTGACAGCCTCTCTCTCTCTCTCTCTCTCTCTCTCTCTCTCTCTCTCTCTTACCCCACAGGAGTAGAAAAATACTTGAATAAGGAAAAAAGGGGGGTCTCTCTCTCTCTCTCTCTCTCTAAGTTTTTAATCTGAGGTTGGAGGGCCACCAGTAGGGCATGTGCTGGGTGTAGATTTCCCTCTTCCGTGAGAGGCAAGACATGATGATCCTTGAGAACCCCTTCCAGCTCCATAATTCGAATTTTTATTGGGCTCAAGTCATTAAAACCAAGGGGGGGGGAACCTAAGGCAGACAAAGAGACAACAAGAAGAAAAAAATACCCCACAGAAGTAGAAAAAGACTTGAAAAAGAAAAAAAAGGGGGGGGGTCATGAGAAGAAGAATGGTAATGACCGTTTCATGATGAATAAAAGAATGTAAGAAAAAGAAGAGGTTTACTTGAAATGTTTGTTGCCCACTCTATATTGCAAGATCTCATGCTAAGTTAGGTAAAGGCAAAGGTTCCCCTTGACATTTAGTCCAGTCGTGTCTGACTCTAAGGGGCGGTGCTCATCCCCGTCTCCAAGCCATAGAGCCAGCATTTGTCTGAAGACAGTTTCCATGGTCACGTGGCCAGTGCGACTTAGACCCAGAACGCCGTGACCTTCCCACCGAGGTGGTCCCTATTTATCTATTCCCATTTTTACATATTTTCGAAAAGCTAGGTGGGCAGGAGCTGGGACAAGCGATGGGAGCTCCCTCCGTCATGTGGATTCGATCTTATGACGGCTGATCTTCCGAACTTGCAGCACAGAGGCTTCTGCGGTTCAGTCAGCAGCGCCACCCACGTCCCTAACCTTTGCTAGGTTACAAAGCTGTAAAAAAAAAAATCAGACGTAAGATATTTAAAACAATTTAGAAGCAAATTAAAAATGGAAACCTTTGAACATGAAAAGCGTGAAAGCCATTACACAAAACCTGCGCAGGCGTACGATCCTCAATCTAGCCATAGTAATACTGTAGTCCCAGAATGGGGGAAATATCAGCGCATACATTTGATTAAAAATAACGCAATATCCAGATAGTGTGTCCCTGTGACGTCTCTATGCTGCACGTTCAAACACTGAAAGAATTACAGGGTTCTTAGTCTGTTGATCGATGGAAGTTGGACATTTGTCCTTCCCATGTTCTAGTATCAAATTGCTGGCCCACCATAAGGTTGAAGATAATCCATTTCCTTTGACCCACTGGCTAATTTTCAGAAGTAGATAGTTTAATGAACTATATGCATTTACAAAATTCAGTGATTGCTCCAGTACGAAGTTAATACACATAATAATGCTGCCCACAGGAAAACGTTAATGGATGTTTTATGAGCCGAGGTGCGTCCCTGTTGGCTTCTCTATCTCTCCCAGTCATTTTCCTCTGGATTTATTTACCTCAAGTTGCATCCTACTTTTCTCTCACCGACGGAACTCGACTTACAACAATGGTAGAGAAATATAATTCTAACACAAAATGAAGAAAAGGATCGGCAATATAAAACACAAACCGCACGAACGGATGAAAATAGAGCATCCAGCCAGTTGAATAATCCTTCTGTGGCAAGCAGAGTTCGTTGTCAAAGACCAGGCTGAGGAAAAGATTGTTCCTTGCTGATGAAAAGGAGACAAGAGGGAGTCAGCGGAACTTTTCTTGATAAGAAGCTCCAGAGCCTGGGAAAGGCCAACGAGAAAGCCCTCTCTTGCACCCACACTGAGCCGATTTCCAATGATGGTGGGGGAGAATATAAGGGCCTCTCCTGAAGAGACCTGGTCAGAAATATCGTCTGGGGTCATACAACAGCCTGGACAAAGTCGAAGAATCATGGGTGTCGATGCGTCCCTCCACCCCATCCTGATTTTGTTCATTCTTATCATAGCATCGCACAATTTAAAATTATGGACATATATACAATATAGGTAAGATCAAAAATAAATTAAATTAAAATGTTAAGATAACCAGAACATTTTTTGACCAGAAGGGGGCTCCTTCACTAACATTATTTCAACCGTCTGCTAGATCTTCTTTTGTACATGTGGTGGGGCATAAACTGCATGCATGGATTGAATTTCAACACAGTGACAGAAAATTGGTCCTGTATCAAAGCAGACCTATTTTACTGGATTATTCTCTGATATTCCTATTTCACTTCAAAGACTATTAAATGACTTCCTGATGGTTAAGCTAGACATCTTGTCCTGGTGGGAGACACTCTTCAGCATTCATCCATTTGACAAGGTGTTTTTATTTTTTAGCCTAGACACCTGGTTGACAAGGTGTTTTTATTTTTTAGCCTAGCCACTTGGGGTTTAATATTTGGAGCTTGAGACGTGTACCAAAATCTTTTCCTTGATTTTAGCTGCCATCTAGGGGGTTGGTGTCTATGAAGTGGAGGGGCTTGGGGCTGGATGAACTTATTTCATTCATTATCTGCTGGCATCTCTCGATGTATTTCTGGAGGGGCAACGCCAGCCAAATAATGGACTTTTTCAATGAGTGTAGGTTTCAGGAAACTAGTAATAATCCTGCATGATTCATTAAGAGCAACATCCACATAGACAAGAGACCAGCACATGCTATGTGCACAGATAATACTAATAAATCTCTCTGAAAATTTCCCCTCCATTACCCAGGAAAAAAAAATCCTGTAGATAGGCAGTCTAGCCTATGTGCTTCCTACATAAAATTCCTTCTTAGGGGCCTGTCTACTTTAGCATTTCGAGGCAGTGTTTTATGGTGGCTCTTGTCTCTTTTTGGAGGGGTGGGTTCAAAAGATGGCGCTCATGAAGTCTTCTTCAATGCTGGTTTTGCTGCCTTGCGTTATCTCTCAAAGTTGCATCGTATCCTTCATGCTATTCAAGGTCATTTGGAGTTTTGGGGGGTCACAAAAGCAACCAGTTACACCGATGATGCTCAACTCTATCCCTGTTTTCCACTGAAATCTAAGAGAACTGTTCTGGTTCCCAATCAGTAGTTGGTGGCAGTGATGGAACAGATGAAGGCAAACAAAAGGAAGATTAATCAAGATATGAGGATGGTGCTCCCATCCTGATGAAATGGAGGTGATGGAATCAACCTGTTCTGGTTCAAGGCTCCTCTTGAAGATGCAGGTTCAGAGTTGGGTTGTACCTCTGGGCTGTTAATGTGGTTGTTATGCGCCATCTGGTCACTTCTGACATACAGCAAGCCTATGAATTAGTGACCTCCAAAATATCCGGTCATTCATAGCTCTGCTCAGGACTTGCAAACTCAAGACTGTGGTCCTTGAGTGAATAAATCCATCTCCTGTTGAGTCTTCCTCTTCTCTGGCTTCTTCCCACTTTTCCCAATAGTACTGTCTTCTCCAGCGAGTTTTGTCTTCTTATAGTATGTCCAAATTGTGATAACCTTATTCCAGTCATTTAGCTTCTAATGAAAATTTAAGCTTGCTTTGATCTAGAACTTGCTTGTTTGACTTTTTGATCCATAGAGACGTAAGTCAGAAGCAACCTTATGGCACATCACATCAAAAGCTGCAACGATTCACACATCTACCTGAACTCTACCTGAATTCACACATCTATTATTCTACCTTCAATTCTACCTTCAGTTTTCAGCTCCTCTGCTCCTGCTATATATTACGAGGTCTTCCCTGCTTTCCAGATGGATGGCAATATGTTTTGGCTGGTTTCGAACCCTCTCCCCTCTGGGTTCATCCAGACCAGCAGGATCTTCAAAAATGTTTCATTAGCATGAAAACACAGTTCCCACCAGGGTTAAGACCCAGGTACTCAGAGATGTATTGCTTTTTTTCCAATGACAGCCAAGAAACACCGACCTCAAAGCAAGTGGAAAAATGGAAGATGCCAAGAAGCTGCCAACCATAGTTTTAATTGATTTTTTTTCCAGCCACCAATCATGGAAATAAAATCAATTATCTTTAGACCTCGATATCTGGTGGAACATCTCTCCCATAAAATAGCTACCTGTCCAAAATGGGTAGATGTTAAGAGTTCTAACACACAAGGAGGCCATAAAGGTCCACATGAGGAACAGATCTTTCTTAGTCATGGCCCCGTCCGTCCCTTTGGAATAAGCTTCCTACAGAGGTTTGCCAAGCAAGCATCATCTCAATCTGTTTTCAGGAAGCTAATTCTATAAAGGAGTCTGGCATCAATTGTCAGTATTGTCCTGAGATGTTCCAATGGGTTTCAATATGTTGATTTTTACTCAAAGGTAGTTTTTAGCTTATGACCAGGTTTACTGTATTTTAGGGTATTTTTGTATTCATTCAAAAATATTTGATTGTATATTATATTAAAAGTTAAGCCTTTTAAGGATGTTTGGGATGTATTTATAAATCATATCCTTGTGAAAAGGTCAGGCCAAAGGCAAAATTCATTTTTTTTTGAGAGAAATGGGGTATGCTAATTAGAAAGAAAGAAAGAGCAAAAAGAAAAAATGGGGAAAAGGGGGGAGGGAAAGAAAAAAAATCAATAAGTTAATATCCCAGTGGGGATGGGAAGCACTGGATGATAGTTTGACATGATGGTTTGATTTTCCTTTTCTTTTTAAATTGGATTTAATGTATGTTATTGTGTTAAATGTATGTTGCTTTATTATTTAAACACTGAAAAAAAGATTTTACAGTATATTGTGAACTGCTGAGAGAGTGGCATCAGTAATACAGTATGGTGGTATGGAAACAAACGAATTGATGGAGAAGAACACATTCCACCGTCATAGAACACCTGTCAGTAGGACCATCCAACAAACCCTCAAATGGCCCGCCAGCTTTGGAGACCTCTGGATGTCTTCATTCAGGAAGAGCTTGCTCAAATTAAGTCTTACTTTGGGATTTTGATTTAAGGAGCGTTCCCCCCGCCAGTTCCACCTCATCCCCAAGAAGCGTCTTTGGCTAAGCAGGCATTTGAACCCAGATTCCCGAATTCCTAGTCCTTCCCTCTACCTCTCCCTCCGCCCCCCCCCTTTTCAGCCACTGGAAACCGTGGTTGTCCCTTGGCTGGCAGCCCCAGCTCCCCCCGACCCCCACCCCCGGAGCCACCG